GGGGCGAAGAAGAAAAGGAAAAAAAAATTAAATAATGAATAAAAAGAAAATTATATAGTGTTGACCAAAAAGTGTTTAGCCTTTTTGTTAAACTAACTAATGATGAAATAGAGGATAAATCTTAGCCAAGGATAATTAACTCTAGATCTAAGTGCATTGGGTAAAAGAATGAGATATAACAAAGCTCGTAGCTCCATTTAATATCATCAAAAGACATCAAGTATGATAATAAACTTACATCTTTGGAGTATCGTTCCTTAATGTAAGAGCAAAGAAGGAAAAGAACGAATGTCATTGATGACTATGAGATCTACATTTATTGATTTTGCAATCATAATTACAGAGATGTGTATTTGCTATCTAAACCCTTTTCTTGGTCCTCCGTTCTTCTGCCTTTTTCCTCTCAGGAAATTCCATTTTCTTTTGTCTATATATATATATATATATATATATATATATTAGTATTTTTTTTGTCCATCGGTCCTTAACCAGAGTGTCATCGTCTCCTTACTGTCCTTCACGTCGCCTCTCTTAAATATCACAATATCCACTCCACCATACACGCTTTTCGAGGGCTCCATCTTTGGCTGCGGCCGAGGTCTTCGTCGTTATTACGCCTCGTGGGTACGACCACATCTTAGTCGACGTCCTTTCATTCTTGTTGACGTTAATCCATATGCTGTCAGATTTTGACCCATACAGTTAGTCCCTCCGCCCGTTGGGGTCGCTTATCGGCGAGCTCAATGGGCGGAATCTGTTGATTCAAGAATGGAGAAATTTGAATGCTTTAAGCGAGGGGCGAGAATCTTATGGCGAGGTAACGACGTGACGCTTTGAGAATCATGTCGGATCGTTGCGTCAGTTCAAGATTGGACCGTCACGTCAGTTCAAGGTGTCATCAATATTTCGCATGTGTCATTATGGCGCACGTTTTCTAGACAGTGTCGTTTCCCATGCCCTTTCCGCTTTCTAACTAGCGACTCTTGATTTTCCGCTCAGGAAATTTATATCCCTATAAATAAGGGGGGAGCTCCTCATTTGAACGTTGCATTTTTCAATTGCTTAAGAGAGAATTTCACAAGTCTTCTCTTTTTTCCTTAATCTCTCATATCTTTGCTTCTGCTAGGATTTGCGGTGACCATTATATTTCTCATTTATTATCTTCACTTCTTTTGATTAAAGAAAGCAAATGGCTAGTACTTCCTCCGATAGAGCTGTAGGTGCTCCGGTGCCGAGAATGACGCATCCCTATTCGAAGAGGGAGTGGAAATGGTGGAAGATGAGGGGTTTTCGATGGTGGATGAGGTGGTTCCCCGCGTGGGCAAGGCGAGGACCAATTTCAATAGCCCTACCGGAAATGAACCAGAGCCCGTTCCTTCCACGATGGATGCTGCGGCGATCACCACGTTCAAAGCCAAATGGGGGATCCCCGACTATATTGAAATGGTGTCGGCGAGTAAGGATATAGTGCATTTACATCGCCCGGGCTACTGCGCGTTTTACGCGTATCCCTTTATCGTCGGGTACACGCTTCCCATTCCTTCTTTGGTGGCTGATTTCTGTCGTTTTTACGAGGTGTGCCCGGCCCAACTCTCTCTGTATATGTATAAGCTATTCCTCATGCTCATCAAGTATGCAGAGCTGGCCGGCCGAGGAATTTCTCTAGGGAACATGATCCACCTCTTCGCCCCCCCATTTTCTTCGGGGTACGATGATTCACATGCGTCATCGAGGAACCAAGAGCTTGGTGGTGAAGATGGATGACAAGACCAACCGCCGCTTCTGGGAAAACTACTTCTATGTCCGAACAGAGCATGTCGTATCGAACCCAGCGGGGTTTCCTGAGACGTGGAATTTCGCTCGTAAGTTCTCCTTTTCGTTTACTTTGTGAAATTTTTCTTAAGATGGCTATTGGTCGTCTCCCTTTAACGACTTCGCTAAGGATTTTCTTTTGTTTTTGCAGCCGAGAGACTACCTCCCCCGCTGGTTGCCGATATCCGCGGGTGAGCGCAATTCTCCCCCACACAGTGGGGATTCGTGAGTGGGCGTCTTTCCACGAGAAGTTTGGGCACAAGCCGCTTACCGGTGAGTTGGTTCGTTGTGGTTTCACTTTGTTCTCTTCTTCTCAGTTTTTTTACCTCTTCGTTATGTAATCAAGCCCCTCCTTACTGACAGGTCGGAGAGGAGTAAGAAGGACGAGGGCTCCTCCACTCACGTTCCGTCAACCGGTACCCTCTACCCGGCCCGCCCCAAGAGCTTCTACAGGCGAGGGCGTAGAAAGTCTGGCTGCTCGTCGATTACGCTTGGAGGTTACTCCTCAATCGGAGACTCCGATTCCCGCAGTCCGTTCAACGGGTGAATCCTCCCGCGTCGGTAGTGAAGAGATCCCGTCGAAGAGGCGAAGGGTAGTGTTAGAGGAACCTTCTTTGGTTGAAACGACTTCGAGGGGCGACCTTGTTTCGACGGCACCTGAGACCGACGGTGGTGCTAACCAGGCTGCGGAGGCGACGCCTGTTGTGGGCGTTCAGGAGGCTATTGTGATGGAGGGGCGGAGCT